AGAAGAGCTCCGCCGTTCACTTCGATTATAAACGACGCCGTCTCAAAAACACTCCACCAATACGTATGCTAGGGACCACTGTCCCCTGGCATACGTCCGCCAAATATTTAGGTGTCACTCTAGACACAGGGCTCACTTTCAGGCCCCACGTCAAAAGAGTAACCCGTCACGCACGGTTTTATCTGAGTAGGCTCAACAGTATGTTGGGCCGACACAGTAAAATGTCCCTTCGAAACAAGCGTACCCTTTACAAGGTCTGTATACGACCAGTCATGTCCTACGCGGGCCCCGTCTTTGCCCACGCAAACCCTAATATTATAAATGAACTCCAAATAGTTCAGAACCTCTTCTGTCGTCGAGCTGCGAACGCACCTTGGTACGTCCGTAATGCCGACCTTCATCGGGACTTAGAGCTCCCAACAATTCAACAATTTCTTAAAAAAACTCTCTGAGAACTTCTTCAAAGCCTCAGAGTCGCACCCAAACCAATTAATTCGTGAGGCAGCTTCTTATGCAGCCCCACCCCCCTCTCGCCATCGTGTCCGCAGGCCGAGAAACTCTCTCTCGGACCCGCCTAATAAACTGTCAAACGACCTGAACTCTCTCCTGGCGGCTCAGGCCAACTCTAATTAAATTAAATTATTGTAATAACTAACATTAATTTGCCTTCGTAGGCACTCCCTCAGCGGCTCTTAGCCGCCTGCGCCCTCTTTTCCCAAAAGAGGGTCGCTCATGATAAGGCACAATACAGCTTAATCAGCCGGCTGCCTGTCCCCAAAGGCGGTTTTTAGAGGGTATCATTTAGGGTCCCCGGTAGGACAGTGAGCCCCTCATAACCACGATAGACCGGCTATCGTGGTATGCGTAATGCATTTTCCGCCTCCCTACGTATAGGGTAGCCCTTTAATTGCTTCGGGCGCAAAAAAAAAAGCGTGCGCGCGTAATCGGCGAGCGGCGGCGGCGTGGGACACAGCTCCGGAACAGCAAGAAGAAGCGAGCTGCGGCGTTGAAGAAACGGCTCAAAAATGGTCGACGGATGAATGAAGATAACGGCGTATGAAGACGATGTGGCGCTGAATGATATTTGCGGCTGTTTCTTGTTACTATATTAGAACGTTAAATATATACGTCAAATTATCTCGCATCGATATGCAGCCCGCAGTATCTCAGTAGCCGGGGGTAATTAGGAAATAAATGTTTTCTTCAGACCTTCGCCTTCTGTGTTATGGTAGCAGCAGGGTATATATTATTCATTGCCGTTTAGGGTTGTTTAGCCTGGCTGCTACAGTCGGTATCTACTATACTCGACTATTCCGTAACTAGGGTTATTAGAACAGAAAAATATTCGGTAATTTTTTAAATATCGTAATTGTAAGTAAACATTTATGACGAAAAATATCTACTTTTTTGTTTTAAAATACACGACATTATTTAATTATAAATAATTTTGCTCTACACTCTACATTAACCTCTTTATTAACCTAGTTAACTTACGAAGCCTCTTTTAATGTAAAACTTAACAATCTTAAGATACACTATTTGACAACCCTATACCCGCATTCTATGTAAAAACCGATAAAAATATCATCCTGCTATTTCCGGCTTCGGCAATTCAAGCTAGGACTGAAGAGCTATAAGTCCTCCATGGAAATATCTCAGTAGAATAACTTGTTTAATTCTAAAGCGCAACCTGACAAAACGGTCCACTTACTTCGCCGACAACAAAATTAAAAAGAAACCATAACAAATTTTGATGTTTTCGTCATTCAAATCCAAAAAAAGACATCAGAGCAGAGGCCCACTTCAACAATGAGTCATTAGAAACTTTAACCAAATTTAAATGACCTAATGTGTTTTTTATTTACGTTAGATTGTTCTAACGTCAGTTTATTGTTGAGTCATCGTGATATTAGCGTGGCCTTGTTACACGAGTGAGATAATCGCATATCCATATCAAAATGATATACACTGACCAAGTATCAACTTTTAGACTGCAGGTGATAATATACATTTTTATCAATACATTTTATATCCAAACATCAAAAAATAAACATCATTTTATACGTGGTCGCGGTAGCGCCATGCTGTAGTTATATTAGTAGTATAGTTGTAGCTCTAGTATATAGTATAGTTATAGTTCACCTCGACCGGGGAAAGATAACGCTCTCACAAAATACCAGCGTAAAATAGTAACTTAAATAATGCTGTGTTTTGTATGGTGAGTGTAGAGAACCGGAGACCCTTTTTACTGGAAACGAGGCATTCCATCTTAGTCCTGACGGGTGACAACGCATCTGCATTTTGATTCGTAATGGAGGATAGATGTAGATGTCTATGGACCACAGCAACCACGTACCATCAGCTGGACTGTGCTCGTTTGTCACCTTATCCTATAAAAAATAGATGGGTATTTGGGATATATTTTTAACTACTCCATTAGCAGTTTCAACATTTTTATAAAATTCAAAAACGTCTCTTTAGCAGTTCCTTAATGTCACACCCTTCAGCGCTTTCCCCCATTTTGACCAAGAATGTTCTATATTTTTAGAAAATTAAATAGTTTGTATGATCTTAGACAATGTCCTGGAAAGATGTCTCTATCGGTTTATTTTACTCCCAACACTCTCTCTCTCTTCCCTCCCCCTTCACTAAAGTTGTCTCGGTTTGGTAAGAAAGCGCAGAATTTATTCCATCTCTACCAACTTTGATTTAGATCATACGAGTACATACACACACGAGCAACACTGGGTATTGTTAAAAAAATTAATATGCAAAAGTGAAAGTAACAAATTACAACTCTAGAAAAAAGGCGTAATTTAAAGTTTATAAAGTTTTATATAAACAGAAAACGCTAATGTATGAGGCTAATATAAAAAAAAAAAATTCTGTAGTATTTTTATTTTTGAAACATATTACAATCGTTGTTATTATTACTGTAATTATACACGAGTTCGCTTTTCGCTATTCGTCTAACTGATAGTGTAATAAACTGCAGTCTATAGACATGAAAAAATTCCGATGCAAGTATAGCTGAAACTTTGTAAACCACTTATCCTGTTAATATACTGACTATCAACTTTCATAAAAAAGATAAATTCACTGCTAATTTAGTACAGACATAGGAAAGAGATTTCCTAGACAAAAGAAACCCTAACAAACTCAAAGAAGACAATTCCTTTTAGTATGGAAAATATGCCCACTACAAATTGTGGCGTAACTTAATGAAATGCATGTTGATTTATTGCTTATAATATATAGATTACAATAGTAATATTAGTTTTACCGCATCTAAAGGAATACTGAGAAATTAACAATTAAAATATGAATATCACAATAACCTAAAAACAAACTCAAAGCGATTGTCTAGTAGTTACCGGTATTATAAGTTAAAATAGAGCACTGTTTATTCAGAGTTTATAGGAACCTTAAGATTGATGAAAAATCCTTTTAGTAGTTGCGGAAAAACATAGTGCACAGATAAGGAAACGTGGTGTGGAAACTAATTTTTAAAAGCATTGATTCTTTAGTGACTATTTCTTGTACTAGTATTGTATACTCTACTGTATGTATTTTATTACATTATTTCATAATTCCGGTTAGATTTTCATGAAATCTATAAGCTGTTTGCTATAATAAATTAGTATCTTTTTTAAAGTGTAATAGCAATAAGTTACGTCAAAATTTCTAGTAGGTTCTAGTGGCTTCTTATGGCTCATAAACGATTGTGTCTTTTAAGTAAGTCCGTTTAAGGCCAGCCATTCCAGTGGTTGACATGAGTCAACTATTTCTAACAGCTATTTCCAAATCAAATTCAAAGGTGTCATGAAAGTCATTATAATAATTATATTTAAAATACATCCACCCATTGGAGCCTATTAAAGTCCACTGCTGAACATAGGCCTCGCCCATAAATTGCCTCATCCCCTATGAGGCAATTTATGGGCGACACATGGGCATACACATATGTGCTATAGTTGTAACGTTACTGTTGATTTAATAATTTCACCTCTCAGTGGGTCATGTGCTCCTGGTAGATTATCTTCTATACATCCATCCATTACAGCCTATTGAAGTCCACTGCTAAACATAGGCCTCGACCATAAATTGCTTCATCCCTTATGAGGCAATTTATGGGCGACACATGGGCATACACATATGTGTTATAGTTGTAATGTTACTGTTGATTTAATAATTTCACCTCTCAGTGGGTCATGTGCTCCTGGTAGATTATCTTCTATACATCCATCCATTACAGCCTATTGAAGTCCACTGCTAAACATAGGCCTCGACCATAAATTGCCTCATCCCCTATGAGGCAATTTATGGGCGACACATGGGCATACACATATTTGTTATAGTTGTAATGTTACTGTTGATTTAATAATTTCACCTCTCAGTGGGTCATGTGCTCCTGGTAGATTATCTTCTATACATCCATCCATTACAGCGTATTGAAGTCCACTGCTAAACATAGGCCTCGACCATAAATTGCCTCATCCCCCTATGAGGCAATTTATGGGCGACACATGGACATACACATATTTGTTATAGTTGTAATGTTACTGTTGATTTAATAATTTCACCTCTGAGTGGGTCATGTGCTCCTGGTAGATTATCTTCTATACATCCATCCATTCATTACAGCCTATTGAAGTCCACTGCTGAACATAGGCCTCCCCATTGATTTAAAGGGGATATTTGCCATAGTTGCCTCGCCTGTCAAACCGTATTTGACTCAGAATTGTAGACAGTGGGGTTTTAATATCATTCACTATTGGAGCGGAGGTAAGAGACTATGTTGATGAATTGCATTGATGAGTTATCAAAAGGACGTAGATGTCCATGTTGCATTGGTTCCCTTTGTTACCTCTCGCTCCCACGGGACGATAATGGATAGCAGATATTCTTACACCGCCTCTACACGGTTTCTAATTAAAATTATTATAAAACAAATTTATTATGTTTAATTGAAACTTGTACTGTCAGCTTTCAGTACTCACCGGGGAGCCCATCATGGTGAAGGTCTTCCCGCTGCCTGTCTGCCCATAAGCGAACACACAAGCATTGTAGCCCTCGAAAGCGCTGTCAATCACGTCCACACCCAAATCCGAGAACACCTGTAGGAAAAGTAAATAAGTAATGTAAATATATCCTCCTATTTATGCGAAATAGTATACCAGTAGTGATATATTTAGGGCTTTGATTAAAACTACTTTTACGGATTTTAATCAATGTATAGTGTTCGCGTAAATATAAGAAATCATTATATTTAGGCCTGTTGACCTTTTTGTCTTTAGCCTCTAAAATTCCACTACTATACACAAAAGTTCATGATGGACTCTCTTCCGTTGTAGAAAGAAGTGCCCATACAAAAGAAAATGGTAGAGCCACGCTGCACATATATTATGGTTGTAGCACGAATGGGTCGGTTCGACCGGGGATGGACCACGCTCTCACCAGTTGTTTCAATATCATTGTTTTAATCCTAAACTAATAAAGAGGAAACACGTACCGTAATACCAAACCTCGAATAGAAATCATAATCCGATTCCGAATAACACGATGTGATGAAAATATGTTTGAATTATAAATGAATTGTTTTCTATAGAATAATGGTCCTCCAGTCAATCTAACGTTAAGTGGATGCTGAGGTCCACAGAGATCTACCATCTGCATCTGCATCTGTGCTCAGTTAATACTCAAAATGCAGATACTTTGTCACCCCTGACTCGTTTCCAGTAAGAAAGGCCCTCCGGTTCTCTACACTCACCATACGAAACACAGCAGCATTAAACTGCTATTTAACGCTGGTGTTCTGTAAGTGGTCCTACACCGCTCTAGACGATTCATTCGTGCTACAACCATAATTATTATAGTTGCAACGTGGCTCTATCACGTAGAAAACTTGGTATTATAAGCTGAAAACACTGAACACGAACCGCTTTATTTTTTTATTCCATTTATTCCTAATTATTTACTCCATGTGCTGGCGGTGTAAGAATATACTCCACATCATCCCGTGGATGTCGTAAGAGGCGACAGAGGGTAACAAACCAGGAGATGAACAGCAGCGTCTTACTAATATCGACTTAAAATAAGAAAACTGCAATTGCCAACCCGCTTACTATGGCAAGTATGGCAAACACCTCCTATGGGATCATCTATAGGGGAGGCCGTAGGTTCAGCAGTGGACTTTAATAGGCTGTAATGGATGGATATAAAGAAGATAATCTACTAGCAGCACATGACCCACTGAGAGGTGAAATTATTAAATCAACAGTAACATTACAACTATGGCAAATATGTCCCTTATGAGGCAATCTATGGGGGAGGCCTATGTTCAGCAGTGGACTTACGCTGTAACGGTAACGGTGATTATTCTTAAAACGCAAATTTCATTGTTAGTTCCACAAAAGATAGCAACCCTTGTGTCAATGAACTCTGCATTATGTAAATAACTGGTTACACTCAACCGAGGTCAATGTTGAAGCGTCCTAAATCTAATATAAAAAGGTCAAATCGGTTCACATAAGCGGGCATAATAAACATTTGGACTAGCTCAATGAAGCTTACAGGTACTATATTTTAATTTCCGGTAACTAAAACCACAACTGCAAATTTCAACTGTCAAACTCGAAAATATTGTTGAAAAATGACGGCTCCGTGGCTTAGGATTGTGTTGCGGCGTTTAGGGCCGCGGGTTTGAATCCCGCACGGGACAAATATTTGTATGGCCTAGGTATAATTGCTCCGGGTCCAAATTCTTTTAGTTGTGCAAGTTATGTATGTAAACTGCCTTCAGGATACAGGAGAAAATCCTGGTGTTAGTATAACGTCTTTTTAAAAAAAAAAGTGAATAAGAGACTGTTCGTACGTTTAACAGCTTAGCGTAATCCTTAAGGTTCCTGTTATTTCGATCGTAAATTTTTAAATGTGTTTTATCATAGGTGCATTGCATTTATTGAGGGTGTTAAACAGTTTATTACATTAAATATATTGCAGTATAAACTGCCATTACGGTATAACCATCTCGTTTACCGTTAAATTTATTGTTATGGCCTATTAAAGTCCACTGCGTAACATAGGCCTCCCCCATAGATTGCCTCATAGGGGACATATTTGCCATAGTTGTAATGTTACTGTTGATTTAATAATTTCATCTCTCAGTGGGTCATGTGCTTCTGGTAGATTATCTTCTATACATCCATCCATTACAGCCTATTAAAGTCCACTGCTGAACCTACGGCCTCCCCCATATATTGCCTCATAGGGGGGATATTTGCCATAGTTACCACGCTTGGCAAGCTAGTTGGCAACCGCAGTTTTTTTAAGTCGTTAGGAAGACTTTGCATTTCATCTCCTGATTCCTTCTATCGCCTCTTACGACAGCCACGGCCTGATATATAGTGGATATTCTTACATAGCCACTACACGGTAACATCTAGTTTACCGCAGACGTAAAACAGCCAGATGAAATAGAAAAAAGAACAGAAGAGGCTTACGTCCAGCAGTACTTTTACCAGTTGACAAAGGAAAAAAAACGTGCGTGCAATTGTGTACATACGTACGAAGTGAAACTTCTTTACGACATATCCTTCTTCTATTTTATATTTTACATAAGTAGGTTAAATAATAGTATAGGTACTCATTACTCTTTAGACGTGATGTTTTTGATTTTTAATACCGTACAAAATTTCTCCACTACGTCGATAAAGAAGTTTCACTTCAAATAAAGATAATCTATTTTGTATATTTACGATATTTAACGATATTGATCAATGTACGCTGTTGTCCCGTTTTTATTTATGCTCATGGTCACTGCTCTTTCATACTGGTTGTTCATCAAAAAGCATTTTTAGAACAATTTTTAATACTATTTTACGACTCGCACAGTCAATGGATATTACTAATCAAATTATGTCACATTTTTAACTTTTAATAAAAAGTAAAAAACAAGTTCAAAAATTATACTCTACTCTACGTGGTAGAGCCATACTGCAACTATATTGTATATTATATTATAGTTGAAAGTATAACCACGGATAGATCGGTTCGACCGGGATAGGACCACGCTCGTTGTTTCGTATGGTCGTATGGTAAGTGTAGTGTACCAGAGTTTCTAGTATAAAGAAAAAATCATTTCTTTTTACCAGAAACGAGATATTTATTGTTGGGTGACAAGGCATTAGCAATTTGAATCTTAATTGAGGATAGATCCACTTGCCGTCAGGTGTAGCTGGATGTGTACTCGTGTGTCACCCACACTATTATGAAAAAAGATCTATAGACTTGAACATAGAAATATAAAAAAACAGTATATCTATGGACTTGAACCATTTGACCGACTTCGGTCAATTACTCTATCCTTCACACGCGATTAGTTCTACGTCTACGCCCACTTCAAAACTAAAACACTGAGCAGGAGCTTGAAACTTCGATAAACGGATTCATCTGTCTATTTAACTTCTGTGTACATATAGTACAATCGACATGATATTAAAAATCAGCAAATCGGTGTAGAGCTATGCCGCAGCTATATTATGATTGCACCTCGAATGGGTCGGCTAGGCTGGGGAAGGACTACGCTCTCACAAAATACCAACGTGAAATAGCAGCTTAATGCTGCTATGTTTCGTATGGTGACTGTAGAGAACCGGAGACCCTTTTTAGTGAATACGAGACATTCCATCTCAGTCTTCAGAGGTGACAATGCACCTGCATCGTAATTAAAAATCAATATGATTCTTAATTGAGGATAAATATAGATGTCTATAGGCCTTAGTATCCACTTACCGTCAGGAGGACTGTGTGCTCGTTTGTCACCCTCATACTATAAAAAGTACACTAGATATTAAATTTTGTGTTAAAGTAAACCGAGCGAAAACTATAAACATAAATGTTTAATGTTAAACGTGGGTACCCACGATACAGGATTACCTAGTGTGGATACCAACAGATATTTCAATGAGTCGTTTTTGTTTTCTGTCAAACATTTTCATATTTTTTAAGAAATCTAAATGCCAGTTTTCGTTATTGATACACCCATTATTTTCTAACGATGTAAGATTAGTGTATTACCTGTTAACTAATATTGCCGCGGTACCATAACATAGCTGCTGCGTGGCTATACCACGCCTCGCAGCAGCTATATACATATGTGGTTCGACCGGGGTAGGGCCACGCTTTCACATAATACCAGCGTAAAATAGGAGCTTAATGCTGGTCTGTTTCGTATGGTGAGGGTAGGGAACACCTCAGTGGTGACAACGAATCTGCGTTTTGATTCTAAATCGAGGATAAGTGTAGACGTCTATGAGACACAGCATCCACTTACCATCAGGTGGACTGTGTGCTCGTTTGTCATTTTTTTATATTTGATGTCGTTTTTTTATACTCTATAAAAAAATAGAAATTGCCGAACCGATAACGTATACGAAGCTCATTTATTAGATGGTAGGACACAATTTCTAATTTGGAGTCTGTCTAGGTATGTTCAACACGCTTATCTGTTTTTATCGCCAAGCAGCAGTCCGTTCACAGCTGGAATCCATCACAGAATATAGATAGTTAGGGAGCTAGTATAATATTGGCTCTCTGAGGCAGGCTGTGAAGCATTCCATTTTAGTTCAAAGAGCAGAGGTGAGAATTCATCAGTAGCCTTCTTTGTTAGAAATGTGCAGGTGTCACCATCAAATTAAGTTAAAGTTACAGTCTATATACGTCCCACTGCTGGGCACAGGCCTCCTCCGCCATTTCTGAGAGGGTTTTAGGGCAAAGAAATGACCGCCGCACTGCCCTAATGCGTGTTGGCGAACTTCACATATTTCTTATTTCGCAGACATGCAGGTTCCCACGATGTTTTCCTTCACCGCCGAGCACGTGGTAAATCAGTGCTTGAAATTGCAATTCACAATTTCATTGATGCCGGCGGGGATCAAAATTCCAAACCCTCTAAATATATCAAGAACATTGAAATCAGATATAAAAGAAACACACACCGATATAAACACAGTAAGCGACAAGGATGGAGGCATGAGCAGGAAATTAGGCAGAAGACTGATTGGCAGATGGACCAAGAACTCTAGAGTGGAGACCTAGAACTTAGAACTGAACATAG